TTGGGAACAAAGATCCTGCTGTAGTTCTCATGAGCAGTTTTGTTGTGCTTGAGCCTCTTTGCCAGAGCTCGGAGGAAATCCTTCATGAGAACACAACCAAATGAAGGGCCATTTGCTATGGTCACGTGATCAGGCTGCACCACAATTGCCTTCTCTTTCTTGAGAAGCAGAGAGTATCCAACAGAGCTGTAGTCATTGAAAATCGGTCCAGCAAACAAGTATGCATCTGCGGACTCCACAATCTCGGCGCAAAAGGCAGTGCTCACAGCACCCCAGTATGTTCCAATGAAATGGGGGTGGTGCTCTGGCACAAGGCCCTTTGCAGATGGCATGACAGCGAGCGCATAACCACTAGCATCTGCTAGTTCAACAAAGGCATCGCCAGCATGTGCAACTCGAAGTTTAGGCCCCCCTACCATAACCGGCTTCACTGCCTTGTTAAAGAACTCTGCAGCCGCCTCCACGGCAGCCTCTAAGCCCAAATGATTACTCAATCTGTAGACCAAAACAAACAAATATATAAATTTCACACCTAAAAAGTTACAAAACATTTCCAAACACTTCAACTAAATGGAACAGAAACCCCAAAATGTGTACCTTGGAGACAATGAGAAGGGAACAGGATCCAGGCTAAAAGTTGGATGAGCAATTCCAGCCAAGTTGCAGCTTATGCTGATATAAACAGGCTTGCTTTCTTTCAAGGCGGTTGAAATTGCGGTATCAATCATTTCATGAGCATCTTCCAGATTATTTACCACAGCCTAGTAAAAACCCACCTTATGAAAATTAGCAAACTTTCAAACGAACCAAAAAAGAGCAAAACAATACCAAATTTAGCAAAACCAAACTCACTACAAATCTTTCACAAAACCCATCAATAGCCCAACACCAAAATTCAACATAAAAAATAAATTAAAAAACCAAAATCTTGATTTCATGCAAACCTGATAGCAAGTGACGGTCTGGAAGCATGTCAACTCTTGGCTAAAATCCGGTAACCCAATAGTGTGGTGAAGAATCCTGTGCGTCCCGTAATCATTCGAGTTGGGTCCTCCAACTATACAAATCAATGGCAGACTCTCACTGTAAGCTCCCGCGATAGCATTGAGAACACTGAGCCCACCCACAGTGAAAGTAACAACACACGCCCCGACTCCCCGCGACCGAGCGTAGCCGTCAGCAGCGTACCCGGCATTGAGTTCGTTGCAGCAGCCGATGTTGGTGAGCCCAGGCTCGGCAATGAGGTGGTCTAGGAGGGTTAAGTTAAAGTCACCTGGGACAGTGAACACGTCCGTGACGCCGATTTGGACAAGTCGGCGGGCGATGTGGCCACCCAGAGTGGCGTCAGAGGAGTTGATGAGGGAGGGGGCAGAGCTTTGGATTGCTAAAGCGGCGCCGTTCGGTAGGCTGCCGACGCCGGTGCACGTAGGCTTGCAGACGTCAAGCGAACCAATTTTGGTGTCCATGGGCTTCTGAACTGGGTTTTGATCGTACTCAAAAACCGTTCTTGACAACTACTCGGAAAACAGAAAATATGGGAACTTTGCAATGGGATTTGAAAACTGGGATTAGGGTTTTTCTGGGATTTATGGAATTGGGTTTGGGAAAATGATTTGGAAGGAGATGTGTTTTTATAGGGGAAGTGAGAGGAAGTGACCCTAAAAACTACCAAGTCTACGTGGCGCGTAAGCGGAGTAACTAATGAGCTAACTACGTCATTCGATTGTATGCAGAGCGTGTCAACTCGTCGGCCGAGCTCGACCGAGGAGTGAAATATGTTGATGTTGCGTTGAGCGCGCGGTTGACTTCTCGATCTTGCGACTGCGGCTGAGGAAGGAACACTTTCGGCCTTCAGGTTCTAAAGCTTGAAGACAAAGCTACTAGTTCTACGAAGTTCACAAATTGTCAGCACCGGATTCGGTCACAGTGATTATATTCGTTAAAGTATAAGCATGCCGAATCAACACCAGACTATATGGGCACAAGTACTCAAAACAAATGTACGTCTTGATTGTGAAAGTGGTTCAGCCGTCAGAATGCCGAACTCTAAAACCTACTTATGAATAACCAATCATAAACAACTCGGCGTTCAATGTGCCGAGCCTAGTAATTTGTAACACCTCACTTCGCTGAGAAGGCTAATGAGATGACCTCTGCCAATAAGGACTTAAAAATCCTTCTCGACCGAGACTTGGATAGATAACCAGTCGGCCTCGATGTAGTGCTGTTTATTCAAATTGAAGGTGCTCCGCGGTCAGCTGATTCTACGACAACAGTGTTGTTTGTCCAAACTGAAGATGTGTCTACAAAAAAAGAAAATAAAAATCTCAAGGTTGTTGAGAGGTTTCACAAAAGCGAGGGTTTGCTCAGGGCAGTTTATGTGTTGAATTGGAGGGGCTTTCAAATGTTGCACGGTGTCTTGTATTTACAGGGACGAGTAAGCGCTAATTGATAAGCTGATTAAGACTCCCAAGCTATTAAAACTCTTCCTCAGATAAGCCTTACTACTCCCAAGACTCTTAACTGAATCAAAAATGCAACCAAATTCAATCTGTGTTTAGTCTTATCCCATCGAATCCCAATATAACATGCATGCTTTGTATTTGAACAAATAATGTTCATCTAAACAGCCACCAATCGACCTGCATTGCTGTGGTTGGTTCCTTTTTTGGAGATAATCACCACCAAATTCGCAGTACCTAATTATATGGGAAGTAATATTTCACACAGCATGCATTGTGATTCCATCATCAATTCATCTGACAACACCCTTTACTACTCAAATAACCTAGCCTACCTAGGTTTCTTATCTCACCATTATCCAAGACCATCAAATCACATGCTATCACATCATCATAATTCCATCACCTTTAAACCTATCCATGCATGCATCCTGATCAAATGAATTTCAAATTCATTTTTAGCTTCCAAGTGCCGTCACATCCCAAATCAATTCGAACTGTACTACTTGCTTGGGATTGAATTCGCATCCTATATATCTGGTTTAAGAAGATGCAGATAATTCATATTAAAAGATAATTATTATGATAAAAACCATAATATTACCCTTTAACAATAACAAAATTTTCTCCACTTTTTCATCCGACGGTTGAAAATTATGCTCACTCAACTGCCTTGATTGCACGGGCCGATGGTGTAAATTTGGGTCCAAACAATATTTTCAAGACAATTACTACGATTAAAATCAATAGTAATGCCAACAAAATTATCTTAACGGTCTAGAACCATACCCACTTAACGGCCTTGATACCACGGGCCAATAGTGTAAAATCGAGTCCAAACAGGAAGATACTAGGGGTGTTTTTTCATGAGAGATGATAAGAAATACGACACTGCATTGTTCATTAAAATATTAATTTGTTAAAGAATTAGTTAAAACGAGTTATCTGATCAATCTTCGATTGGAAATGATCTTAGGGTGAACATTAGGAGGTAAACTGTCGTTTTATATTCTTGTCATACAATCAAATCGACAAACAACATCGCGAAAAAACCAACGATGTCGGTGCTCATTTTGTTATAGTTCTCCTTTGTCCTCTCCTTCTTATAACGCAGTGAAAAGGTACCACAACGGATTATGACCACTCCATCAATACAAAATTGACAATTAATTTAACCAAAAATTATATGACATTGACATTCCAATATATTATATCAGTTGGAAAATAAAACATATTTATTATTAAATTAATAGTTTAGGCAATGTTGGATATTCACATTACATTTTATAAATTATAAATAAGAAAAATTAGTATCTGGTCCTTAGTTACTAATGTTTTTTTATTGAAACATTATTAGTTTTCAAATTTTGATCAAGGTCTCTAGTATTAATACAATAATGAATTTACATGTCAGTTATATAATTTTTAAAATAAAAATTAAAAATTGATTTAGGATTTTAATACTCACGCCTTTATTAAACTCCTAAATAATTTTCAATTCAAAACATTTCCAAAATAAAAAAAAATATTAGAATAAGTTTGTACCCCTTAATTTTTTTATAAAAAGGTTTCCAATTTTTTAATCTTATATGTACCCATTCATGTAATTTTTAAATTTTTGATCTTAAAATATACCCATTCTTAAATATATCAATTTGTTGTAGTAAAATGTACCCTTTTTTATATAAAATCTATTCAATTTTTTTCTAATTCATTTTTAAACTTATATGGGTACATTCTTTTTCTTGATTTGAGAATGTATCCATGTCAAATTTAATCAAAGAAATTTACTAATATTATTAAGCCTAATATCTATTATTTTTTGTGTGGTTTTGACGAATGTACCCATATTTTGGTACAATAATTTTTTTTGTTAATTTTAATGAATGTACCCATGTTTATATACATACATACATACACACACACACACACACACACACACACAATATATTGGAGAGTATAATTTATATTTTAATAATTTTAATCCACAAATTATGGGTTTTTTTATTTAAAATCTCATTAATACAAACAACTATAAATTTCAATTTTTAATTTAAAAAATATAGTAACCTACATAGAAATACATTATCACATTAATTTCAGGGACTTCGATCAAAAATTGAAAACCAACAAGATTTCAATCAAAGAATATTGATAGTTAGGGACCGTGTCCAAAGTGTCCCTTATAAATATAGTTAATAATCAAATTATTATTTATGTATTAATTAACGTGTTTATTTTTTATTAGTGCATCACATAGTTTGTAAACATGATTTAAAAAATTAGCCCACCTAGTATTACGCTTAGTTACAAATTACAATCAATAACGTTATTCCTCAAACAAGCGGATTTGTCAAGAATACTTATTTTCTCGATCGGTTAGTTTTGATTAGATACACACCATAACATGGTAGTAAGGAATGCTATTCACATGACGGGCCCAATAATATTATTGTACCGCATCATCCAATAAAAAGTATGCAGTGTCAAGTAAAACAGATTCACGTGTAACACCTAAAAAGACATGTTGAAAGTCAGACTTGAAATGCAAGTTTTTCCATTAATATGTAATACGCAAACTAGATCATAAACTAATTAAAATATGAGTAGATACTCGTAGTTCAAAGGGGAATGTACTTGAGAAATCAGTTTTCATGGAAAAATATTAAAAACAAAACATAAGAAACCCTTCACAAGAAGGAACAAATACAAATTTTTTTTTTCCTCCAGATCGAATGACCCAGCGTTGATGAAGGGAAATGAGATGGAAGACTTTACTGAGGGTTGGGCGAGCGGCTGTTGGCAGCAGACACCCTAGACCCCCACTCAAGCAACACTTTTCTGGTCCTTGTGGGCTATCACCTCAATGAAGCACAAGCTATTCTTCTTCGCCCCAGTTGCAGTCTCTATCGCTTCAATCGGCTCCTCTTCACAACGGACCTGCAGAATTGACAGATTCGGTTGCAAGGAGTTTTACGATCCAGGAAACCCTTTGATTGGTTAGTTGGAACAGATTAAGGAGACGATTAGAATGCATTAACAAACTAATTACCTTGGTTGTCCAGCACTTGCCCAACTAAACTTTCCTTGTATGATGACATGGATGTAACGCCTCGTGTTACGGGCATACTAAATGAGAACTTTGCAATGGGATTTCAAAACTGGGATTAGGGTTTTTCTGGGATTTATGGAATTTGGTTTGGGAGAATGATTTGGAAGGAGATGAGTTTTTATAGAGGAAGATACTAGGGGCGTTTTTTCATGAGAGACGGTGGTTCGACCGTTGCAGTCGATTCAAAATACTGGGCGAATGAGTGGCGCGCAAGTATTATAATATTAATTTTTTGTTTCCAAAATCTTAGATGGGAAGGGACAAAGATATTTCTAATTATCCAATTAAAACTCTCTAATTTTTTCTCCTTAAATATCCTACTTACTAAACCTTGATGTTGATTTGTATTATGGAAGAAATTACTTTGTTAATAAAATATTACCTTTTGTAATGTGTGTTATGCTTACTATTAATATCACTCGAATTATAATCCTAATTTTTTGCCTTGATGATCCTATTAAGGCTTGTTTTTGTTTGTATTCTAAAATAAGTCATTTTTGTTATAAAATATACCCTGTGTAATGTGTGTTATGCTAAGTTGATTGATATCGCTCTGTTGGGCTTGAAATTCACATTTTTGACTTAATTGAAGCCAGCTCAGAAGGGTGGCTGCAAGTCTCAATCCAGTGGGGTGATGCTAATGATTCGACTAGATACTGGATAAAGTAGACTGTCTATAAATATAAGTTGTTTTGCAATCTCTCAACCCACACAAACAAACGCTTTACGCGAAACCCTTGCTCTACATGAAATCTTCTCATGTCATGAGCAAAATGCTAACTAATTGCTTCACTAATCCCTTTGCCAACACATATTTGTTTGGTTAAACATCACTGGGTTAACAAACTGGCAACATATTCAGTTTGGTTGACCACCACTGAAGATGTAGAATCAGTCAGTCTAGGAGTACTTTCAGTTTGGTTAAACAACACTATTTCTAGTTGGGTTGATCATCTATCCCAAGATTCAGGCGTCGAAGATTCTTAATTACTTTTGCCGAAAAAGGTCACTTCATCAGCTTCCCAATAAAGTTAGGTGTTTTATGATTGGTTATTCACAACTACATTTCAGAATTCATCATTCAGACCGCCGAACCACTTTCACTGTAAAGGCAATCATTTCTTTTAGAATATCATTGTCCCTACATCCTAATACCAATTTGATGAACTTATATTTTCACGAATATAGTTGAAGTAACCGAACCACGTGCAAAAGATTGAATTTTGTAGCCGAATGCATAGGTCGAGAGTGTTCCTTACTCGACCAAAGTCGCTCGGTGGAAGAAGTAAGTAGCCTATTTCATCACCACACCACCAATAGCGGAGCTAAAACTTTTCACAAGGTGGGCTAGCTTAAAGATTTCAATCTTTATAAACAAAAGAAACTTGATACTGTATTTTTCACAATATCAGCTAGCTTAAGAAAAATTTCATAAAGTGAGCCAATAATTTTTTGTTATAAAAAATACATGTTAAAATTCAAACAAATCCAAACTTGAAGCATATATGTACAAGAAGTCATGAGAAGAAGGATGTAAGAAAAATAGATGATTTGTAAGCTGTATTTTATAATTTTATATAATTAAACTAAGAGAACTAAGATTAGTGATTAAATATATGGTGGGCTACATTGGAGAATCAATTAAAATTACATGCAGAAATTTATTTTTTCTTGAAAGCTACCTGGGCTATAGCCCATGGTAGCCCTTAATGTGACTCCGCTAGTGCACACTACCACATTTTCATCTCATTCGCCCAACCAAGTTCGATTGTGAATTGGCATGCATGCATCAACGAAATGACATAGTTAGCTCAGCAGTTACTTAGACTGCATGCCATATAGGCTCTATAATTTTTAGAATCAACACACCCAAAATATAATCCTTTTTCTTCCTTAATGATCCTACTAATTCTTGATTTTGGTTGTATCATATCCTTGATTTTGATTTATATTCTAGAATTATTTTCGTAAATAAAATATACATTGTGTGATGTGTGTTATTGACAGACCCCATCGTGAGAGTGACGTAACCATTTGCACAGTACGGAAGCTTTAAGATACAATTTATAAGTTGATACACCCGAAGGTGAGTCCTAATTTTTGTCCAATCTGTCAGAACACCGTCGAATTCCTCGTAGTCACCACACCTTTGTGATTCTTGAACCTGGAGGGGCGCAAAACCAAAATTGAGTGGGTCAGTAAAACAATTCTTTTCCAAATCCAAACATTTCTCAAAACGTTGTAACCCCTCTCCGTAAAACCTGTATACTTTCCCAGAAATGTAAAATATAAATATACATATATATTCTCAAAACTTCATTTTTACTATCTCAACATTTTTCTTTATCAATCATGCCATGCCATGTCTAATTCAACAGTTAAATATGGATGCATCAACAATAATCATATCAGGTGCAAGAAAGTAATCAACCGGAGGCCCTCTAATAGCCCTGTACGGTTGAACCTAGAGCTCAAAATCTATCAATCTCACACTCTGCCGGAGTCACTCCACGTGACCTGTACGGCCTTCTGCACATAAGTTACGCTCTAGTGCTTCTCATAAATCATCTGTGCACATAATCTAAGGTCACCCACCAGTCGGAATCTCACTAACACTCTCGCGACTGGCCTGTCGTACCCACTCCACGTGGACTGTACGACTAGCATCTACTTGGATCCAAGACGAGCGTGCGATGCGGTGAATACTATAAGCACTAAACTATGGTGCAGGATTTTGAGCTCAATATACATCAACATCATCATAACAGAAATAAAATACTCACATGTGCGTCCACCGCACCATTTCATACATATGCATCATAAATCAATTCTTACCTGTGCGTCCACCGCACCAATTCATACATATGCATCATAAATCAATTCTTACCTGTGCGTCCACCGCACCAATTCATACATATGCATCATATATTAATTCATGCATGGCAATTCGATTCACATTTCTATATACTTTTCATATACTTTTATGCATGGCATTTCAACTAATATATCTCATATACTTTTATACATTTTCATTAAAAGCATAATTTCATGCATTTTCAATTTCTGGGAAACGGCAAGTATATATGTATACGGAAAACAAAACTGCCCACTCACCTGGAGTTCGCCCTACAACTCCCTAGCACAATACGCCAAGGCGTCATGACGATCGGCGCCTAAAACAATAATTAATTCCAACCTCAGAATTCATAGTGATAGAATATATAACTTATATAAAATACGTCACTACGTAGTTCGATCCGGAAGATCTGCCACTCAGATTTTAAATCCATAACTTCCAGAGGTCCACAATATACCTCTAGGACAACTTCCTAAAATTTCATTACCATCCAACGGTCGGATCTCCGTCAATTTCCAAAACTAAGTGACGGTTAACATTTTATTTTATGAACTTACAATTCCAATTCCGGAAGATCCGTAACTCGGATTCCCAATCCGTAAGTTCCAATAATCCTCAAATATTACGTATTACAACGTATCAAAGTTTGGTAACGATCCAACGGTCGGATCGTCAATTCACATTTTCACCAAAACTATAAACGTTATTTGAACACCTAACCAACAATCCTTAATAACTTTCTCATACGGTGCTCAAAATTGGGTATATGAATATACCACGGTGATCTACTCGACGTCACGGACGTCGACATATTTTTTAAAATAATTTTATTTATTTATTTTTTTTTAACTGTAGCACCTTCTTCTTCCTTGGGTCGCCTGACTGGTTTTTCCGGCGGCCGTTTTCCGGGCAGTTTTTCAAATTGTCATAACTTTGTCATTTCTCAACGAAATCAAGTGATTCAAAAACGAAAGTTGTAGCCCTTGAAGAGACAAAGAGAATGGTACCTTGCACAACACCTAGTTCGCCGTGGTTTGGCCGGAAAACTGCCTCGAAAGCCTCGGAGGTCGCCGGAAACTGGGTATTTTTCAAATGAGTATAACTTCTTCAATACTCAACGAAATTGAGTGAAACAAAAAGGAAAGTTGTAGTACTTGACTAGACGAAGAGATTGATACCTACCTCGACTCCTAACTCGCCGGGGATTCGCCGGAAAACGCCTCGAAAGCTCCGGCCAAACTTTGAACTTGTCGATCTCCGTGTTCTTACGTCCAAAAACTTCCAACGAAGCACTCCGAGCTTCCTTGGAACCTCACTAAGCTCACTGTGAGCTTGGATTGTCCTAAAACAAAGTCAATTCGAAGATCATGAACAGTGCACTTTCACGGGGAGTTTAGAATCTAGGTTTTCCGAAGTAAAACTTACCTGAAATTGGTGTCTACGTGATCGTGGGAAGTTCCAGGAGTCCAAATGTGGTCTTATCTTGGACGTTTGTTTTATGTTTTAGGTGGTTTTGGGTGAGTTGAGCGTCGGAGAGGAAGAGAGAGAGAACTGAGAGTGAGAGAGAGTCGTGAGGGAAGAGAGATAGAGAGACAAGGTACGGGAATTGGGGAAGGTTTTGAGGGATGTGGGGATCCCACGTGTCCAACTCAATCCAAATTGTTAAATTTTCGCCCCTTAGTCCCGTTTAAGGGCATTTTCGTCTTTTCATGTCCTCGAAATTAAAATTCCGGGACGGGCTGTGACAATCTTCCCTCCTTATAGAATTTCGTCCCCGAAATTCCAGCAACCAACTAAATCAACCATACTCCAACAATAGCTTCGGGTAAATCTTTCTCATCCGATTCTCTTTCTCCCACACTTTTCTACTGAATGATTTCCTTCACAAAGCTTTTACTACTTACTCTGTCTTAATTCTCAGGACCTTCTTTTTCCAATCCAAAGTCGTCCTTGGTTCCTTATCAAGTCGAATCCAATTTAATTCTCAATAGTTACACCAGAATCTCATGTGACGAATCTACCACCTAGTGACAACGTATCGAACCCAAAATACATTAAGTACCTTAGCCAACTCTGAAGACATCACCACTTGTATGCAACTTTATTGATTCCTTTAGTGATCAAAAATGGTCTGATGTGTCTAAATCTTATCTTGTCTCCTTTCCAATTCTCGCCATTTCTGCTCGTGGTGAATTTTCCAAAATATCGAATCATGAAACACATCATGTACTTACAACAACTCTGGAAGCCATTTAAATCTGTATTCAACTTCACCAACCCTTCGATGATCACATAAAATTCGGT